AACTCGAAGGTTTGCTGCCAGCGCCTCCAGTACTATAATAAACGAAAAGGGGGTCAACGGGTCCCCTTGACGGACCGACCGCTGCAAGGTGATCTCCAGGGCCAACGTTCCATTGACTTAGACTCTAGTTGTGGCGTTTTGGTGCAAGATCATGGTCCATCGTCGAAAGTGCGGGCCAAAATTCATCCTTTCCATGCATCCGTCCAGGAACAGCCAGTCTACATGATCATATGCTTTCTCGAAGTCTATAAAAACCACGACCGCATTGCATTTGTCCTGTCTCGTTAGTCTCAAGAGCTCGTTGACTAAAAGGATGTTATCTTGTATATTCCGCCCCTTAACGAAGACCGTTTGCGTCGGGTGGATGAGATCATCCAAAACGGGAATCAAGCGATTCGCCAGGGCTTTCGCGAGTATCTTGTACACTACCGTGAGCAGGGTGATTGGACGGTAGTTCCGAATGTCCATCTCGTCCCCTTTCTTATGCAGTAAGGTGAGAACGTCTTGCCCCACCAGCTCCCCCATACTGCCAGACTCCCAGACATGTCTATAATATTCCATCAGGTCGGGAGCCACTAGTCCCCAGAATGCTTCCTAAAATTCCTTTGGGAATCCATCAAGACCCGACCCTTTCTCCTCCTCAATTTGCATCAACGCTGTCCAGATCTCCTCCTGGTTAGCGGGCTGTCCAGTTGCACCCTTTGCTGGTATGTCAAGCTTTTAGTTAGCGGTTGTAGGAAGGTGACAATCTCCTCTTCTCTACTGGGCCCATCCCGCTGAGAGCATCTAGAGGTAAAAAGGTCCTTAAAGAAGGACTGCACAATCTGACCGTATTGGGGGGTGGAAGTTACCAACCTGTTGTGGGTCGTACAGGGCCTCAATAGATGTTATGCGCGACCTTGCTCTGGCTAGGCTAAAAAAGTTTTTATCCATCGAGCCCTCAATTTGATGACGAGTCATTCTTGCCCTGATACGCATGCCCTCCCATCGTTGTTCCGGTAGGGTTCGTCGTTGCTGACATAGAGACTGTTCTTCTGATTGATCGTTTTGTTGAATGTGAATAGCATCCTGTAGTTCGTCCTGTGGTTCCCACTGTTCGTCCTGTAGTTCGTCCTGTGGTTCCCACTGTTCCAGTTGTTTGTATTTCACTTTCGTAGCGTCTGGCCGCTAGATGCGATGGGTATTCCTTGCATTTTTTTCCTAGAAAGAAAAACCCATTATTGAACCAGTCAATTATCTGTGGGATGTTTTGTTTTTGTGTGTGCCAAAAGGTCCAACGATCTTTTATGTACGTGTGAAATGTTCGTAGTTGTACGATAGATACGTTTAGCTCATAGAAGCCTGGCCCACAGTCGTTTTTTTTCCGGAAAGTCATAGCAATAGTACACATCTTATGATCCAGTCCCAAGTACGGGCTCCGTGGTAGAATGGTTGCTAAGAGCAGCGAGCCCTGCAAGTCCTCCGAGATATGGATCAAGTCGATTGTAGATCGTGATTGCCCTTCTGTTTCTGTCTTGTGCAAACAAGAGAAGAATCTCGTATCGGGATGCAGTTCTCTAAACGTGTCGAAGACATTTAGTGACAGACACAAGTCCCTGATCATCCGCTCATCCTCTTCAATGTAGAACAGGGCAGGAGTCGAAATCTGCCACCTGTCCCTCCAGCGGCCTGGGGCCGCATTGTAGTCCTCATCTATTATCGCAGGCATCCCGATTGGAATCTGTGTTTTCAGATTCTCGAAAAAGACTCTCCTTTCCCCTATCCCATTAGGTGCGTATATGCATATGATGGCGATGACTTCTGACTCTAGTCTGACTAGGACCGACACCCATCTGCTCTCTACGTGGTCAGCTACCCAGTGAATCGGTTCCGCCCGAGACTCGAGGGGGATCCAGATTGCGACCTCTGCGCTCCCCAGCCTAGGGGCATGTGCCCTGAATGTCGTGTGTGGCCAGATTTGTTTATGAATTTTGTCATGTTCAGGTGAGTCCATGAGGTGGGTCTCCTGTACGCAGATAACATCCAGCCAATTCCTACCCCCCACTCCTCTGAACATATCGCAAATTGCCCGTTGTTTTTCTGGTTTTAGTGCGGCCAGGCCATTCACGTTCAGGAAGCGTAGGTCCAAGTCTGCTGCTCTTTGACATTGGTTCCAGATTTTATCCTTGCCATATACCGCTTTGACCGGGTCCATTGCCATAGTGTTGTGGCTACCTCAGTCGCTCCCACAACTGCTGCTCCTTTTCCCATTCCCTTGCCCCTGACATCAGGCTGTTTCTGAGCACCGCACACAGACTTTTCCGTACGTCGTGTTCTGTCCATATTTCGTTCAGCTTGATCTTGACCGTTTGGATGTCTGGTTATGAGTGAACCATTGTAGGTCTGCTTCCTTTATCGGATCAAAACGGATGAGAGCATCAATTTGTGCCATTTTGGCGGGGCCTGCAGTGATCAGCCGAAAGGCTTGTGCTCCCGGTGCATATGTTTCCACGATGTGGGTGGACAGATGTATTTTCAGGATCTCTGCAGCGTCTTTAGAGTGTTGGTTGTGCGGATCTGCCCAAAAGGAGGTCCATCTCTGCAATGTCACCCCTCTGTGTTTGCTTCCTTCCACAGGGGATAGTCCTATCTGGGATGAAAAGCACCGCCTGTTCTGATGGCGACCTCGTGCCCTGTCCCATTTCGATAAGGTGTCTAAGTTTCCTTTTCCTCACCTGTGCCATCGGATCTCCACAGGGTCTGAGGGGGCGTCAGGTGGTTCTGGGTCAGGGGTCGAGGCCAGCAATTCCTCATGATGTTGCGTAGGCCCCACATGCGAAGGGGTCGAGGTAGTGGAAGGCGTAGCCAGCTCGGGCACATCAAGGGCGGTCGAGGCGGCCTCCGCTGATGGACGGAACAGCGTGAAGATAGTGGCTAGTTTGTTCCACGCCTCCGTCCACTGCATCCTGGCCCACAGGCCATGTTCTAGCGCTTCTTTCAGGGATGCGCTCGAGTCCAGCAATGTGAACAGTTCAACTCCTAGAACCCCTCCGTGACCGGACCGTACTTTGCCTTTAAAGTTGCCATTAACCAGTCCACCACTACTATCGGTTTCTCTTCTATTGGCATGTGCTGCGGTGGAGCTCCCTTCTCATCCGGACTTAATTAGAGTTATAACGTCAGACAAACACATCCTCTCGTCCGAGACGGTTGTTTGGATGTATGCCGAAATCCGTACAATATCATGTTTATAATTGTCATGAGAAATGTGTCATTGTATACTTGTTGGATATATTGTAATGTAGTTCGTGTCATCCTTTTCAAGTACTGTAACAGTTAGAGTAATAGTCGAAGTACAACTCAAAGATGTTCACCGTTCATTTTGTAACAACCACATAATTTTGACACACATGATCCTTTATGCGACAACACCTGCTATATTACACAATAACCTAAAGTTTAACATATTTCGCATCCAATCCGCACTTTAATTGGCCATGCACAAAAGTTTCAGTTATGAACATAAAGTTGTTCGTTACATGTAATGCAGATAGTCACAAGGCATCTGATTGTACGAACATGCAAGATACATGGTGTTAGTGATCTTTGCATAACGAACCGCACACTCACACACTTGTCGAGATCTGTCATGGATCCATGCACCAATTTGTCGTGTCGCACACAAATTTCGGATATTATCTTATATCAATCATATGCACAGTTTAGGTTTTCTTGCGCAAAATTTAAAACATGGAATGCAACGCGAACTTGTTCCGCCATATGAGAAACGACAGGCTTGTGACATAGATTACAAAGTCTACACATGACGCTAAACTGGCAGTGAGCATGCCAAAGACAACTCAAACTCGTAACAATAAAAGAAAGTAATGTCGTTGTTATAATGACAGTTGAATAATGTCATGTATCACAAAATATAACAATTAATGAATGAAATAGTCTCAAAAGAAACTTTGGAATTCATTAAAATCTACCAAAGACAATGGCGTTCTTAGATACATGTTGTCAATTATCGTCTAATAACTAATAAGCTATGAATCCCCATCAGCGGCGACCATCCGCGGCCTAGCCCGTGACCCAGCGGACGTGTCCGCGCGGCCGTGCGGCCTTTGCGGCCTCATAGCGGTCAGTGGGGAGGGGGGTTCGGGATTCGGGAAGCGCCATGGGAAGGCGCATCTCCAGCCCCACCCCCTCAAAAAAAAAAAAAAAAAAAAACTAATTTTTKTGKGGGGGGGTTTGGGKGAGTGATGGTATTTWAAAAAAAAAAAAAAAAAAAAGCGCGTTTTTTTTTTTGTTTTCGTTGATTGATTGATTGATTGGTTGATTGATTGGCCCCACAGGCACGCACACACACACACACATAGGTAGGATTGTATATTTTCATGTTCTAGCGGAAGATTCATTCAATTTTGCTTTTTTTTTTTTTTCGTTGATTGATTGATTGATTGATTGATTGATTGATTGATTGATTGATTGGTTGATTAGTGGGGGTGGGGTCGTCCCCCCATCCCCAACAGGCCCACACACACACACACACGTAGTATTGTATATTTTCATGTTCTAACGGAAGATTCATTCCATTTTTTATTTTTTTTTTTTTTTTGATTGATTGCTTGATTGATTGAGTGGTGGGGGAGGGGTCGCCCCACCCGCACGCCACCCACCACACACACACACACACACACACACACACACACACACACACACACACACACACACACGCCACCCCAAAAGCGCCATGTAAAAATCAACCACCTCATCGTTCACCCTACCGTCAATTTGCAAGAGGGTGAGAAGATCTTTTGCTGCAATTCGCAACTGATCATCAACGAGGGTAGAGAGAACATTGTGAGGTGTCACCAAGCCTCACATAATGTCGTCAAGAACCCACAAGCTTTGAGGCGCAGTTGTTGAAGCGAATCTGACCGCTGCGTGCTACACGTGTCGTGACGAGCACTGCACAATATCGGGCCACGCACACGCGGGGTCGTGAGAAACAAAGTTTTATGGATTGTCCTTCATTGCACGACACATTTCTAAGTGTTTTTCATACATGGCCTGACCCCTAGTCATAGATCGTGGATTTGTCCCCTTCTTTAGGGGCAGAACGGAAAAACACTCGTCAATGGCTATGGCATGCTTCTTCTTCCCGATCTCGACATCAACCTCTGATGCCTTTAACATATCCTTGTTTTTTTACGTGAACCCGGGGACTTTCTGCAATATGCGTGTCGGATATTTCGAGGACCTCATTTGTCAAGATGACCTTATCCCTGTAAAACAGAAGAAAAACAAAACGGAAAATGAATACACATTTCCCGACACATGTCCGACAAAAGTGACAATGTAAAAGAATGGCACAACCTACAAGACGCAGGACCTTTCCAATTACTGAACTTTGATTTTGCAATGCAATGAGCACCGAGTCGCGTGCGTGCGTTTTGACAACAAAAGGACGAGTGCATTCGAGCTTGACACCCCGCCCGTTGACCAAGGAAAACCACAACAAGCTACAGGCGCTGAAGGCCAACAATTGTCGAAGTTCGGATTTCGGTGGACTTTAATCCACAGATGACACACAGAGACCAACTGCATCACGCATCGACACTGAAAGTGTGGACACCGGCGAGGAATGAAGTGCAGCCAGATTCTCGATTCCTCGATTCGACGAACTCCGCGGTCACCCCTTGTGCGAATGGCGTGGAATGAAGTGCGCCGAAACCCGGACTACAACGGATGCCTCACTACTGCTTTAGGAATCGTGTGCGTGCTGTACATAGTGGTTTTCTTCACCCCTTTCCAGCCGGTTTGTCCCTCCGTTCCTGCGTCGGTGAAGTCGGTGTGGGCAAGGCCAGCACTGCGAGAGCTGATATGTCGACCCTAGACTTTTTCGGGGACGTGACATGTTGTCGTCCCCCGACTTTGCCGTCCCCTCTGCTAGCAAAGACCGTGGGCACGGAAGTTGCGACGTTGCGAGGCTTGTCAACATCAGACGCCGTAGTCAGATGTGCAGACACCTGCTGGCTGCCGAGAATGCTTTCGATAACTTCGTTGATTACTATATGGCCACCCGGTTTAGCCGGCCTCACAGCAACGGAAACCTTGTCACACCTGTGTTGGAGATCAACTGCATGCGTCAGCAGTTGAACGTCATAGTCTTCACGTTCTGTCGAAAGGCTGCTGACCACATGTGTCTCGATCTCCATTGTCGTTGCATCGTCGTCGTCATCATCCCCGCGATGCTCTCCATCTAGTTTGCCCAAACCCGTCAGCCGACTCTGTAGAGTCGGCATCGTCCTCACTGTCCTCCCCTTCGTCGTCTTCAGTATCCACTTACCCTTTGCCACCCTCTTTTCCTCCAAGCAATTCAATTAACTCTTTTTCTCCCCCTTCCTCTCCTTCCTCTCCTTCCTCCCCTTCCTCTCCTTCCTCCCCCTCCTCTCCTTCCTCCCCTTCCTCCCCTTCCTCCCTTTCCTCCCCTTCCTCCCCTTCCTCCCCACTATCCCTTCCATGCAATTCACCCCATTCTCCCAAACCCGTGTTGAATCCCGACGACCGCCCTTCTGTCTCCACACACGTTGCCCCTCCCGCCGGCACGGAAATCCCTGGCCGAGCCCCCCCCCCGTGAAGAACTTCGGATCTTGGCGGACTTCGTCGTCTCCATGTCGTAGGGTGCTCCTCGTGCACCCTCTCGCTTCAAGCGGTCGCCGCTCCCCCTCAGGCGACGCATTCTGCTCCCGCACAGCACCATTGTCAGATGTGCCATCCTGGCTCGGCACCCCCAACCCCGCCCTGCTCTGCAAGGCCAACTCCTGTCGCGGCACCTCAGGCCATGTAGTTCGGATCCCAACGGACCTGGACTCTCCGCCTTTATGGCTACGAAGAGCAACCAAGGCTGCCATCATCTCCCTCGTTGAGCTGGCGGACGAAGTCGAGAGGTCGGCGGACTGCGTCGCATGCTCTGAACCGGGGCCAGTACACGGATGCTGATCGACGACCCCCCCCCTCCACCCCATCGTTGCCTTCCGTTGTCGTGGTGTCGTCATGAGACCTGCCCTCTCCACTAAGCAGGACTCCTTTGTCGCCACCCCCATTGCCGCCCCCGTCCCCTCCACTGGTTGGTGGCCCCCCCTCGGAACTTTCGTGTGCCCCACTCAGAGGGGGAACTTTCCAGTCCCCCTTGCCCTTCGAAGGGCTCGTGTCGAGGTCGTAGTAGTCCTCCATCAGTTCCAACTAGCGCTTGTCCTGAAGTTCGTTGAACAGTCGGTCAGCAGTGGAAACGATGGATACGTCGTCGGGTGCAAATGGCTTATTTTTGTACCCCACTTTTTGGAGGACCAAAATCCTCGCGACACGCGGGAAGTTGAACTTCGACTCGCGAGGGATGGACACCCATCCTACGCCTGGGTAAGTGACGGCCATGATCCACCTGCCCTTTTGGATCGCCGGCTGGATGACTCTTGGTGCCAGTTCATGTCATGGCCCCAATCCTGGTCATTCGAATGACTTTGCGGCTCACCAAGGAAGTGAATGTTGTCATCCTTCCAAGATGGATGATCGGGCAGGACATTAGACCCGGGACGCAATGTGCGTGGGGGGACGGCCAGAGCTCTCATTCTCTCCAACAACTTCATCGGGGTCGTGCCCGACGTCGGTTTGGCCACCGGTGACACGAGGGATGACGTGCTTGTTGACGGACCAGCTGACGCGGACCTTGGGGCGTGCTCCGCCCGAGGTGGCTCATACCGCAGGTCGACGGTATCGGTGTTGCTCTCCTCCTCCTCATTGGGGTCGAACTCGATACCAATGGCCACCTGGTCATCTATGGAGATTAAAAATGCGTAACTACCGACCTTCAATTCCTCCTCGGGCTCGATACCAATGGCCACTTGGGACTCTAGCCTTTCGAGGAAGGTCTTCGCGTTCCTGCGGGAGGCGAAGTGGTAGTTGTCGAGCAACGCGAACATGTGTTCTTTGCGCCGCACGTACTCGACATCAGTGTCCTTCGTCGGCTGCGTTTGCAAGAACAAGAAGTCATATATCTTGTTCTTTTTCCTCTCACTCAACTTGAACCCCATGTCGGTCTTCTTGCTCCACACACAATTCTGTTTCGCCTTCTTCACGATGACCCCGCAATTGTTGGCTCCCGAGTTGACCTCACTTTTGACGAATTGCATCGGGAATTGCAATAGGTCGGAGTTCCCTGTCATCGCGATAACGTATCGGCCGACATTCAGAAGTTCACACAAACTTTGCGCGTGCAGCTTCCCAAGGAAGACGACACCCTCTCCTTTTTTGTTGATGAATTCGAGAAGACCAACCAATTGGGCCGGATTGCGTTCCATGTCCTTGTACACACTGCCTCGCCATTCAGGCGCGCTCAGCAACCAATCGCATGGCGTTAAGGGAATCTCCGACACATCCGTTTGGGTAACCTTTGGAGGCAACCGCACTGCTGCAGCGACACCCATCGGCAACCTCCCGTCGTGAACGACGGACGTGTTCTCACGCAAATCGTCACCTTTGAAGAGGATGTACATGTGGTCGTCTTTCGTGTACAAATTGTTCCCGACGGGGAAGGTTTTCTTCTGCTGAGCTCTCCTCACCCACTTCCCTTACAACAGCTTCATGAAAGAAAGAAGGTGCATGCTGGCCAGAAACGAGAGGTTTTACTGCCGCGACACGAAAACAATGAACGTCCAATGCGACGGACACCACGTCTAAAGATGGGAATTCAAGGTTTCGAACGCTTCCGGTTTTCACAACTTCAGGTCAACCGGTTCGCACAGATCGAGGACGAACGAAAGTAGCGTAAGGTCAGCCGCGCGGTTGGAGACTTACCTAGTTTCCTCCCTCTCTCTCTCTCTCTCTCACACACGTGTCGCTCTCTCTCTCTCACACACACACACACACACACACACACACACACACACACACACATATATATGGCCCCAAGCCCACACCCATGTGCCCTGCGCAAACGCGTCAAACGCGTTTAGCCACGTTCAACGGGTTCAAAACATGAACGTGAAACGCACGTTCATTGAACGCGCGGCAACACAGCCGCATCGCCTCTTTGATCAGTTCTATGTGGACTGGATCAAGTGACCGCTGGTTGTACAGATTCTCCCACTCACCGAGGTTGACGACCTGCGTTGGGCTAATCTTGAACTCCTGCTTTGTCCGAACGTCATCTTTATACTAGAGGAAGTACCGGGCTTCGACATCGATCAGAGGCCGTGGCGAGGAAGGGCCCGGCGCAGGCTGCTTTTGTTTCGAAGTCCGACATTTTCGACCCTGGTGGTCCTTTTCCCCATCGGCTCCCTTCCTGTGTTACCGCGCGTTCATTGAACGCGCATTTCGCGTTCAGGGTATGAACGCGGTGAACGCGCGTTCACTAAGCGCGCGCGAACGCGCGTTCACTGAGTGCACGTGAACACGTTTGATGCGTTTGCGCAGGGGGTTGTGCGGGGTGGGGGTAAGCTTTGGGGAGTGTGGGGAGAGGCGGTGG